TGGATTGTCACCCCTAACTCCCATGTATTCTAGCCAGGGTTTGGGCACTGGGCTCTTTCCTGTCATATGAGCTCTTCTGCCCCAAGAAGAAGTGGCAAAAACAGGGAAGGAAGGATAAGGCTCAGAGTTTCAGACCTTATTATTTAGTTAATCAATTAACCAACAAACGTATCTTTTGAATGTCTACTATGTTCCATTAAATATTACAATTTAAAAAAAGGTAGAAACTGACAATGTGTTAGAATGGAAAAAATACAGGATTCCAAGTCAGAAGTTTTGAGTCCTCATCCTGACTATCGTGTGAGTTTGGTTGACAAGTCTCCAAACCTCTATGGGCCTCAGCCTCTTTGTTGACCAGGTGAAAAGATCAACTGTTCCAGAATTATAGCCCATAGTTATGCCTCTCAGAGCCCATGAACCCTCTGAAATTTTGCACATGTGAGCCTTTTTCTGGAGAGAATCCACAGCCTTCATTAAATCCTCAAAGGGTCTGTGGGTCAAAAATAGTTAAGAATTAAAAAAAAAAAAGAATTCGTGGTTTAATGGATCTATAAGTTCCATGACTTTCTGTGGTGGAGCACCAGTGTGATCCCAGTCCTGTAAGTTTGTGTGTTTTAGAAGATTTACTATTTAGATTTTCATGGATTTATAAGGTGGTTGGTTTGTTCATTTGGTTATTTTTTCCATTTATTAATTAGATATTTATGAAATACCACTTATGTGCCAGGCACTGTGCTAATACTGGGGTAGAGCAGTGAACAAAACGGACAAAAATCTCTGCCATAACGGAACTTAAATTTTAGGTAAAATCAGATAAAACCACCTAGTAAGGGGCCGACCCGGTGGCGCAGAGGTTAAGTGTGCACGTTTCGCTTCTTGGTGGCCCGGGGTTCGGATCCCGGGTGCGGACATGGCACTGCTTGGCAAAAGCCATGCTGTGGTAGGCGTCCCACATATAAAGTAGAGGAAGATGGGCATGGATGTTAGCTCAGGGCCACTCTTACTCAGCGAAAAGAGGAGGATTGGCAGCAGTTAGCTCAGGGCTAATCTTCCTCAAAAAACAAAAAAAACCCACCTAGTAAAACATATAGTACATCAGTTAGTGATGATGGGTTCTGTGGAGAAAAATGAAGAAAGCAATGGAGAATAAGGAATGCTAGGAGTTGGGAAGGTGATTTGTGATTTAAAATAAGGTGATCAGGGAAAGCCTCTCCAAGGTGACAAGTGAGCAAAGATCTAAGGAGGTGAGGGGTGAGCCATGGGAAACCTGGGGGAAGAGCATTCCAGTTAAAGGGAACAGCAAGAGCCCAACGGAGGAGCTTGTGTGAAGACTAGGAAAAGAGCATACGCTAGAAGCCATTTGAGGGTATAGTATACAATTAGTGATGGTCCAGTTTTGGGTTCTTTTTGGTGATCCAGCTAAACCACCAGTGTTGTGATGGGGGATGCCAGATGCAGGTAGAGTAAACTGCAGTCCACCCCTGGCTTTAGCCTTTTTTGGAGGCAGGGCTGTGTCAGAGACTGAGTAACGGAGAGCTCCTCTGTCCTTGCAGGCCACAGAGATGCTGGTTCACAATGCCCAGAACCTCATGCAGTCTGTGAAGGAGACTGTTCGAGAAGCAGAAGCAGCTTCAATCAAAATTCGAACTGATGCTGGATTTACACTGCGCTGGGTTAGAAAGACTCCCTGGTACCAGTAGGTACTTGGTGGAACCTGGCTGGCATAGAAACCCCTACTAAACAGAATGAAATGATCTGAGTCCCAGGAACCACTCAAAATTGCTGGGGGGTTGAAAACCACATTGTGGCCTGACATAACAGAAAGGAATGGGGGCCTCTTCACATTAGAAAACATTAATACTCTTGTCATGGACACTTTGAAATATGTCTCCGTATAAAGCCTGTATTCTCAAACACAGTTATACTCGTGCATACTCTATCCCAATAGGCAGACTGGGTTTCTAGCCTATGGACTTCACAGAAGCTCAGAATCCAAGAGTGAACACTAGCCAGACACCCTGCTCTGCCCTTGTTCCCTAGGGAACAGTTCTCCCTCTGCTTCCTTTTCCTTGCCTCCCATTCTCCCTGCCAGGCTCCCAAGACCTAAGGCCCAGGCAAGTCAGTTAAGAAGGAAATCACTGTGCCTCCAAAATTCTTTTGGGCTTTCCATGTTGCTGCTGACCCTGCCTACCTTCCCTGGCTGTGCTACCTGGGTCCTTTTCAGAAGTGAGCTTTGCTGTCGCAGGGGAAGGTGGCCTTTTGGGGAGCCTCAGCTTTATGGGGCCTGGATTCACTTCCCGCCCTTCCACAATTTAATCCTTCTAGTTTCCCACAGTTTACAAAACCAAATTTTACTCTTGTTAGGAGGAAATCACAGAATCGGATAATTCTGTCTTTACTGTGCCCCTGAGCGATATCTGTGCTAGGGAAATTTCCTGTCCCATATCCTGCCTCGGCCTGCCAAGGTAGCCATCCCACGAACACTGTGTGTCTTGGTGCTCTCTGCCACTGAAAGGGCAGAGTAGCTGGGGCGTGGCCCTGCCCATCCTTCCAGCAGGGCCATTCCCAGGCACTCCATGTTTTGTCACTGCCTGCAGAGGTCTGTGCTGAGGCCTTATCATTCATTCTTAGCTCTTGTTCTTTCTGAGCTGAAATGCTGCATTTAATTTTTAACCAAATCATGTCTCCTATCCTGGCCTTTGTATTCTTCCCCCATACTCTTCCTAAACAAGATTTTAAAGATATGTATTTGTTCATCTGTAATTTTGAAAGATCCTTTTTATCCTTTTGAAATTCAGTCCTAAGAATTGGTGCTTGCCTCCCAGGAGTGTTTAATGGAAAGGCAATCCTGTCTGAAGGTCACTTCCTACCTAAGGGAGAGTGGTACTTACAGACTGGAATTTTGGCGCTGTTTGGGATGAATCAATGGGAAATAGTCCTCAGTAACTCCTACCTCCCTTAACCAACTACAACCAAGCCCCTTGCCTTGCATCCTCTCCTCCCTCCCAAGTACAACTTTTCAAGAGAGTAATGGGTATGATATTTAATTATCATCATAATAAGTTTTCTATTAGCAAAGTGAGAGAGAAGGCAATCTTTCCTTTTTTGCACTTATCACTGCTGTCTAAGCATTCCCCAGCACATGAAACCATATTTCTTCCCCAAGCCAGAACTGGATGAGTAAAGGAGTAAGAAGCTTTGCCTGAATGTCCTTCCTTCCCACCTCCAATGTGTGTTAGATCCAACACTGAATGTGTAAAACTTGTCTTAAAAGCTGGTACCGTACACTCAGGCTTCCTCTATTTCCTTTTAACTGCTAAAGATTATTTTCAAGGCCCTCAGCTTATTTGTATAGTTGCTTACCTGATATAAATGCAATATTAATGCCTTTAAAGTATGAATCTATGCCAAAGATCACCTTTTATTTTACTAAAGATTACTTAGAGGAAATAAGAAAAATCATGTTTGCTCTCCAAGTTCTTCCAGCATTTTGAAACACTGGTTTACACTTTATGCTGATGTGCTTTTCTCTAATATCAGTGCTCAAGACACAGTGAAGCAAAATTAAAAAAAAAAAAATCCCTGAATGATGATTAGAGACATTACCACTAAGAAACTACATTTATAAGCTAGGATTTGTTATATACAAATATTTTCTGTCTCTTTTGTTCTGTTTAAAACAATAAAGTGCATTTGTATAAATAATGCTTTAAATGATGGGTATGTTATTTTAGCAGAACTTTTAGGTCTTCTCCTTTGTTTTAAAGAATAGCCAATGAAACTAATCCTCAAGATCTGGAAACTAAAGATTTTTATTTAGTCCAAGTGTTGTATTGGAAGGAGGAGAAACCAGCAGTAGTATATTTACTTAACAAGGATCTGTGTAATAAATGACAACTTTGGGGATTATGTACTAGAAGGAAAAGTGACAAAGGTTAAAAGTAGGAGGAAAGCAGCCAGGTGATGTGGATCATCCCCTGGTTAAGTAGTCTGTCTTCATCTTAGAAGAGTCTAGCTATTTGTGGAGACCATTGCTATGCCCTAATGAGCTGAAGCTGTTACATGTACAGGAATACCACAGGTCCGTTTTACGTATTCCAAAGCTCAATACAGAACAATAGGGTTGTCAGGGATCCACAAGGGCTATGATGCAGAGCTGGCTTTTGGGGACATGTTCCTCTTGCTTGAGGAAACACTAACTAAAGGCGTAGGTTCTTGGAATAGAGCTAGGACATCACTGTTTTTGCCTGATTTTCTAGATATGAAAGGGGTAAAAAATCATTAAAGGGTGATAGTTAGTTCTGCTTTAACTTATAAAAGTTGCTGACTAGGGAGGCAGATTCCAGCCTGTTTGAGTTAAACAGAAATGTCCAAGGCTACTGAATTAGTTCAGCAATGTCTGAAAAGAGTATTCATGGTCTCATTTTTGCTGCTCACCCTATGTTCACTGGTGCTGCCTTCTTGCTGCATTATAGTTTAGTTGCATTATATTTCAGTTTTCCCAAATCAGGTGACTCTAAGGACAGTAAGACCAGCATCTTCCCAGGGTTCTTCTGTAGCACACTTGAATGAACCCATCACATGAATTGCCTTTGAATAAAATAATGGTGACTCCTCTATGCAAAAAATGAGCATCTACTTCATTTGCTCTTGGGATGAACTCCTTTAGGAATTTAGAAAACAGGGCTATTCTGGGATTAGCTGGAATTCTGTCTTAAAAAATATCCCACTAGTACTAAGTATTCATAGATCTTTGTTGTTAGTAGGTGGTGGCGGTGGTAGGGAGAGGAAGCTTTAAATCAGTCTGTGGCCAGAAGGGTGATGCTTAGAGAAAGCATACATGGCTATTAGCATACTGAAGTTAAGAGAGGAGCACTTGGAGCTTTGCAGCAACCCTCACACCTTGTGTGATGACAGAACAAAATCTGATCATGTTCAGCCTGCTCTGATACTGAGGCGTGCCCGTTTGAGAATGCTCAATCAATAGTCAAGCTAAAAAATCAACTTGTTGCTTTCATCTTTTTATTGACAGTATAGCCAGAGCTAGAGAAAGGGTTTACTAGATCCAATCAAACTAATAAACACAATAATTTAATTGTAAAAGGAAACAGTCTACTTGAAAGTTTCAGCAGAAATTGCTAGAGGCAAGGGACTCTTGGCATACAATCTGCTTGTATATAAGAGAAGACGGCACAGAAAGAAAATTGGACAGTCCAGGTATAGATAGTTGAGATTAGGGATTCTGCAGAAAGAAAAGCAGATGTACTGATTGCTCTTTTGAGGTATGAACTCTGAAGAGTAAGACATTAAAAAGGAAAAGTAATTCAACTGGGTAACCAGCCTTAGGCAAAGGGAATAAATATTTGGCAACATTTTAATTTTAGTTGCCAAGCTGATATTGGTTAGCCTAGAAACTTCAAAGTTGCAAAAAGTAACCTTTCCTATTAGATGAAAGGCAGGCTGGATACCCTAGGCAGGCAAAGGTAAGAATGCTGCTGTGTACTGGGCTCCCTCTACCAGCACCAACCACTAGCCCTTGACAGCAGAGTGGATGAGTATCAGGGCTATCCTTAGCATAGGGAAAGGGAGTTATAAGCTGAGAAGAATGAAAAGAATGGAATCACAAGGAGAAGAAAATAGCATAAGAACAAGAAGGAAACATGAAGAACAAGCAGCACTTATAATTTTCAGCCTTTCTCCATTCTTCATGTCTAACAAAGGCAAAATAACTGGGCAGGGACTTCTAAGCCAATGAAGTTGAGTGAAATGATACAACTGTAGACTGACTTGCCAACCACGATGATCAACATGGTTTCATCAACGTTACTGAGGATTTTGTTTCTGCCTCAATATAATGTACCTTCACATACTTTGTCAGTAGAGACATTCAAGTACTCCAGTGACAGTTACGGCAATACTTTAAGGAAGAAATCTATTGATTATAGCCTTGGGAAGCACACAATATGAAAAGGGAGTTCCCCCTGAAGACAAGGATGCAGGCAAATTCAAGCCCTTGAGAACAACAATAGAAAAGATAAAAGATTAAAAAAAAAAAAAAAGATTGAGGATAGTGAGGCAGGCATATCTTCCTCCTTTCACTGAACTAGGGCATGAGGCCTTTAGGCTAATTATTGTTTAAGTGGTGTTAGATAAGCTGTATAAAACATGAAGATGGCAAAGCTTCATTTAACTTTCTCTTTTAGTACTTTAATTTGCTTAAAATCTCAAATGCTTGTGCTTGCAATAACTTCCTAGAAGCAGAAGTAGGTTCCCTTTTATTACCTTAATAAAGCATTCGCCCCTTTGATACAAATGATTTTTGCTGTGCTAACAGCTGAACCAGTGGCACAAAACTGAGATGGTACTTTCTGCAGCAAGGTCCCTGTAAATCAAAATCTGAGCTTTACATAAAAATCTGATTTATAAAAAATACAATACCAAGTACAGTGAGAATGGAGCATGGAGCAGCAGCGCTCCCTGCCAGGGCCATGTGGAAGTGGCTTTTGCTACAGTGCTTGCTTAATGGCACAAGTGAAAAGCTGAATAAGGCAAACACTTGAAGAGGCAGTCTTTTGTAAACTTCTCAGGGTGGGGGGAAATTTCCTCTGTTGGGACAGATGCTGACTTGAGATGGCTAAGATCAAGTGTGACATTTGGCTGCACTTGACACATCACACTACAGATTAAGACAGCTCCTGCTGGCTGAGACCAGTTCACTTGTTTTAGGCAAGAGGTTATCACTGTAGCCTTCTGCCTTTACTGTTACAGTGTGCAGCCTCCAGCTGGTGCCCCCCCATGGAGGAAATCAACTTCAAAATCTTCCTAAGTGAAAAGATACAAAATAAGCTAAGTCATTCAAAAGTTACCTTAGCTTAAAGCTCCTTAAGAACCCTACATTGATTAATAAGCAATTTTGTAAGCGGTGTGTAGCTTGACACAAATGCTTTAACTGGAATATGTATTCCCACCCACTTGGTACTTAATAGTAATAAACTGTAATGACACTTGTAAGACAGACAAATCTTGAGGAATTTTGGCCTCTTCTCATGTCCTCACTTGGAACTTTCCAGCTTTTGTGACATATTTCACTCCTTTAAATGGCTTATATTTCTCCCCATACATGTCCAAGCGGTTTACTTTTAAGCCTGTGTCAAAAACAATAGGTAAAGAAAAGCATAAATGATTATCCTGGTCACACCAACCAGTATAATATTTGTTTAGCAATGAGCTCTACACAGTAAATCTGATAATAACCAGTGCCCCTTCCACCATTTGGAAGCAATGTCCCTTCTACCATTCACAAATTATAGCACTGTGGGGGTATACTTTTAGTTCAGATTCCCATGTGAGCTAGGAATGTCTTTTAAGAATAATTCTACTTTCTGTGAGTATGAACGGCTCTGTTGGTGCTTGAATAAGGGTGAAGAATGAGGTGAATAAGGTGAAGGGAAGCTGTGTGAAATAAGGCGCTCTCCAAAATCATCATACCCAAGAGGGTGGCCCCACAGTACAGTGTGAAAGGCAAACGAGCTCTTGCTCTTTCTAGAGAGGGAATGTCAGTTACCCTTCTAAGTTCCCAATAGTTGACGTCAGCAAAACTCAATTACCTTTAAACACAAGTCAAACTTTTCCTTACCTGAAATAGCAAGCTGCTGGATCTTGAACTGTATGTTGAGGCTTGGATTCTCTTCTGGTTTGGGTGCTCCAGACTGTAAATTTACCAGTCCTTTAAGACTTGGGAGCTTTTGCGGAGTAATTTTTCCTACATCCCATGTTAGTACCTTAAAAAGACATAAAAAACAAAAACAATCTGAATTTATTAAAGACAGATGTACTAAGACAAAAGTTCAAACTTCTGTAGAAAATGAAGCACAGTGTCTTGGAAATGAGACCTGGGACTGTCACTGAGTTTTACCAATAATTAGTTCTGTGACTCTGAATGGAGAGTGAGGATAGAGAACCAACATTTGTTGAAATTCCACTTTCGGATATAGCACTATTCTTAGCACTATTCATAAGTTATCTCATAGAAGCCTGTGATGTAGATTTTTGTCTTCATTTACAAATGAGGAAACTAAGGCTCAGAGGTCAAATGACTTGCTCAAGGTCACATGGCTAGTTAGCGACAAGACTGGGATTTTAACCTAAGGTTATCTGATTTCAAATGTTCCTTCCACTATACCACAATCACTGTTTCTCTCTGGGCCTCAGTTTAGAGAAGACTGACTAAATTGGTGTTTCTAAACTTTTAGTTATGGAACCCTTTGTTCAAATGAAATCTTTAGTGTGAAAGCTCAGAAATAGATGAGAAAGTGAAGCTGTCATGGTTGAAGTCGGGGTGAAGGGCCAGGGATCTGCAGCTCCCCCTTGCACTGTTCAGCCCTGTGTGGTCTCTCTGGAGGTTCTTTGAATCCTCAGGACTGGATTAGATGACCTTTAACATTCTATGATTTTATTAAAAAATAAGCCTTTTCATTTATCAGGCAGCTCAATGACTCTTTTGTTGAAAATAATCATATTTTTACCCAAGCAGGAAGTTTAGAGAAAATCATCTTTTACACTTTCTCTGAAAACATGCCTTCTGCTTGAGGCATGTTTATGTAGGATGAGGAAGCAGCTTTCCTGCAAATATCCACTGTGTAATTTAAAAACAATGCTTTTAAATTAAAAAGAAGAGAAGGGTCTTAATGATAAATTTCTACAGAAAAGTTAACAATTAATAGACTAAAATGGTATCTTCTTATACCCATATAATGCTTTTCTCTTTTTCAAAGAGTGGTTAGGTTCACCAGCTCTGCTCCAGCGGCCCAGGGTTTTGCTGGTTTGGATCCTGGCACGGAGCTAGCACTGCTCATCAAGCCATGCTGAGGCAGCGTCCCACATAGCAGAACTAGGAGGACCTACAACTGGAATATACAACTACGTACTGGGGGGCTTTGGGGAGAAGAATAAAAAGAAAAAAAGAAGACTGGCAACAGATGTTATCTCAGGGCAAATCTTTAAAAAAAAAAAAGCTTTTACATCTTCTTCCTTATTGGAGAGAGAGTGAGTCTCTGGATTATCAATGGATGAGTAAAGGCACATTCTGAAAGAGAACAGAATGAGTCTCACTTTTCTTCTACTCAGCAGCAGATGCAGGATTCCATCCACAGCCAGTGGCAGAAGCACAGCACAGTATGCTCAGGTTTTATTAGAAACTTTAGTTTTAACCAGGACATTAAACCCTTCCCTCTGCCCCCCACCTTCCCAAATCACAAAATAAACATTGCAGAAACACTTGCTCACTCTTGATTTGAGGTGGCTGTACCTTGGTAACTGGATCAAATGTATAGCTGCCTTGTGTTGGTGTCAGGTTCATATTCAGCACAACTTTTGGCATGTGAACTGTCACTGTGACTCCTTCAATAGTTTTTCCCATATTCTGCTTTGGTCCAATTGTAACATCAAATCTGCCACAAGAACTATTCTCCTTAAAGCTAATGCTATGTTTCACATACACTGGTATTGCCACTAGACTAAAAAGAGAAAAAAACAAAAGCACAAAGACACAATTAATGGTATGAGACAGCTCCAGAGGTGGCCTGCACATCTCAGTCCTACCCTGTTTCTAACTCCACTATAGGGTCCCATTCCCCCAGAACTGCAGATTCAGCATCTGCACCAGAGTGAGGGAGCTGAGTACAGCAGTGTTCTGGTGCCACTGTGTTAGGAATTATATAATTCCTGAGCGATAAGTATACAAATCAAGATAGAAGTCTGAAACTTAATTATAGCATAAAAAATTGGGGCAAATAGCCCTAGCTTAAAGAAATGAATTAAGATCCCATGGAAAGATAATTTAAAATTATACAAACTAAATAAAGCAGTTTGTATGTGGTAAGAGCCAAAAAACAATTCCTCTGCTTTTGAGTCCTGTCCTGATGTTACCCAGATATCTTCTGGTACTTTCAAGGGACAAACCAGTTACAGCCGACAACACTAAATCATTCATTTAAACCTCAGTGCAGAGAAGAGTGACTTGAAACCAGTTAGTTGGGGGATGTCCTGGGGAGCTACAGGTACGTCTGTCTCCTTCTGTCAGCCATGATGTCTACAGACCACAGTAAAATTATGGCACTGGTTCATGGTTTTGCCCAGGTTATGCATGGTCCAAAATGCTTGCTCTCAAGTACATATTTTACTATAGTCTCATTTACTACTACTCTAAACTCTTAGATTCAAGGTACGCTGATTATTTTAAACACGTATTTTCACCAGTTCTTCCTGGTCTCCTCGTGAGCCATGGCTAAAGGGAGCAATGATGAATTCAAGTATCCAACTGTCAGCATGAAACAGGGAAAGGTGAGTTCTACCCAACACACTGATATATGATGGCAGATTCTGGTTGAACCATCGACATACTTTTGTGAGCTGACACGATATGATATGAGTCGGAAATTTCCATCTGGAGGAATAAATGACAAAACTCTTTCAGATTCCCAACGCTTGAACCGGATGCAGGGGTGGAAGCTGACATCATCGAGAAGCCTTGGGTTCTGCCAGGAAAGCAGAAGACAGCTGCATTCATAGAATATAACAAATATGGCAACTCTACTCAGATATTATGAGAAATTAATATGCTCCCTAAAGATAAAGCAATCATGTAAGAGTTTGTTATTATAACCACATCAACACATTATAATTTCACAATGTTTAAAGTTTGCAAATATTTCATATACTTACTTAAATTTTAATAACTCTATGAGATAGAAAATGCGAGTAGTATCATTTTCATTTCATGCTTAAAAAAACTGAAGGTCAGGACAAGTTAGTGGCAGAGACAGCACCAGAACTCAGTTCTCTTGATTGTTCTTAGTAGTGTGTCATGCCAAGTCTAAAATGATGCAAAAGATCAATGCCCTTTCTTATCAGCAAAGCAAATAATTCGGTAAAAATGACACTGCAGATTTGCAGAAGCCAGCCAGCTATTTAAGCCACTTCTAACACACTTAGGCAAAAAGCTCTCCTCAGCCTTTCCATAAAGGCCATGCCCATCATGTAAGCTATTGTCTTGGGAACCTGTGCCAGGAATATTTCTGAAATAATCCTTGGCAATCTAAGACACAAACATTTCTCAGTATTTATCACTTCATTTAGTACTTCTTATGTATGAGGCATGCAAGGAGCTTCAGAACTGGAGAACAGAACTTACCATGAAAGAAAGGGAAAGGTCAGGCATTCCAGATAGCTTAATGCAAGCATCAATGACCCCCTGAATTTCTGCAAAGACTGTGGATCCTGACGAAAGAAAGAAAAAGGGTGATAACATTACTGCAATCTGTGTCTTTACTAGAGTTATCACTGTATCTGAAGTAATGGAGATGCCTCTTGGGTGTCAGACATACTGAAGCTTTGCACATCTATTAACAGGTCAGTGGAGAGAGGATCCATTACACCAGTTCAGACAGCTTCTTCACTGAGTGCTATGGTCTGTACCTAACTTTGATTGGAATATGATAATTCTAAGGAAAATCAGACCTGTCTCTATTTTTATAGAGTCAACTTTGTAAGACTGCTGGATATGAAGTTAAAACATTTTTAAACAGAATGTAAAAATGAGGCAAATTTATCATGAGATGGACTAAGCCATATGTTAACCTTCAAGAAATAGAAGCCATTCTTATTTATTCTGTGCAAAATAATTTGGTAATGAAAAAGGCACTCACTGAAGAAAACATATGGCTATAATTCACAGTAGCTCATTTTCACACACTAACTAGCTGTGTGACTTTGAGCAGATTACTTAACCCTTCCGAGCTTCACTTTCCTTATGTGAGGGTTGGACTAGATGTTTTTTTTAAAAAAAATTTATGATTCTAATAGAGTATTGTTTTGTCTGGGGTCTTTACTAGATGTACTGCACATAAAGTAGTAGCAAAAGTATGGTGTATGGTAGATATACAATAAAAGTTAGAATGAATAAATGGCAAGAGGGAAAGGTATATAGTTTAATAATTGGCTTAAAGTAAGCAGCATGAGATCTGACTTGCAAAGGTTTGGCAGATCTCAACTAGTGGTTATGAAAATTATACAGAATCTCCAGGTAAAATAAACAGAGTTTTAAATCATTACAATACAAATGCCTTTTCACTGAAACCATACTGCTGAGCGATTTCGATTTCCTATTCAACTTAGGTCAGCTGAACTGTTTTTTTCCCTAATAAGACCATATGCACACAATTACCTGATTTATCTATAATTGCATCTATTTCTTCAACGACATCAAAATAGGCTTCATTGTTTGTGTACTTTACCCCTGCCCGGCGCCATGGGATGTTGGACAGCTGCCCAGTGGGGAGTGTGTCTCCAACATTACTACTGCCTAGAAACCGGAAAAGGAGAAAGCAAAGCTAATGTATAAAATGGTCGTCAGAAAAGCTATTAACAGAAAAAGAAAAAAAAAATGAATGCTTTAGCTGCTTCTTTAACGTTTCAGTTTTTCTTCATTGAAGTTGTGGATGGTTTCCAGAATTGTCAGAGACATGTCCATACCGACATGGTCAAATTTCTAGAAGACAGAAATAGGCCATGTGATCCTCCATCTGCCAAACCAGTAAAATTCATTTACTTATCTTTTGCTTCCTGTGTGTTAACAGTAACCTAACCTAATTCCAGTGGCTCAATAACAGAATCTTATCCTGTTGCCACTGGTGAAAAAAGAGGCTGACTGTTTCAAAACCTTCTGCCGATAAAATGTCTCCACTGAGAATACAGAGTGATAACTAGGCCCTTTGGTATTCAGCTTAAATTCTATCTACATGAGATGCTGCCAAGCAGGCCTCAGTGGAGTAACTGGATGAAGAACATACTCTGGCCTTTTCCCATTTTAAGGTCAGCCCACCCATATGGCTGTAATATGGCTAATGTTCAATATACGACTAGTTTCGTGGTAAATTGACATAGGTCTAAAAATAGGTCTGGTTGTCCAAAACATATATCCTTGAGCTGTGACGTATTTAACATTTTGATTAATTTACATTTCCAATTCAAAAGTAGTGCATGCTTAACAACAGCAACATATGGAAAGATCAGAAAAGTGGCTAAAAAAAAATATCTATCTTCCTATTACCAAAATACAACTACCACTAACATTTTGGTATATTTCTTTAAACATTTCCCTCATAAACTAGGTTACATTTATTATTCTTTTCTATTTTGATAATTTTGCTTTTTTCTGATTGTGTTTTAAAATAGAGTTGCAGTCATACTATATATACAATTTTGTAGTCTAATTATGGTTGGGGTTCCTGTCTCCAACCTGTTGACCTCCAGAATTTTCTAAAAACAGTGTTTGCTTTAATCTTCTTGTTCAAAACTTTCAATGTTTCCCTACTGGCTTCATGATAAAAGCTAAACAGTTAGCCTAGCATTCAAGGACTTCCTCAATTTTAACTTTTTAATTTTTCCTCCCACTATTCAACTAAAAAAAAACAGCTAAATGGGTTAATACAACTCAAAGTTTTTTACTTTGTGTATGTTTTCTCTCACACAGTTCCATCCATCCATGAAGAATGCTCTTATTCTTTCCTCTCTTCCTAAATTCTGTTGATTCTCCAGGGCCCTGCCCCAGGGCCACCAATTACAGTTCAGGAGGAATTACTTCATGTACTGAACTAGTCTCTTGAACTTTCTAAGGTATTGCCTTACTAATCTGTATTATATTTTTTTCACTCTACAGTAACTTTTTTCTGACTATAAGATACGTGTTTATTTTGGAAATTAGCAAGTATAAAGCAAAAATAAAGATAATATGTAGTTCCCTGGCTGGAAATGATCATTGTAAACATTTTAGAACTTTTTTGTCTGTGTGAATATTTATGTACAATTAAGAGTAACTTCTATATTTTTGTGTGTTTTTTTTCCCATTTGATATTACATCATGTGCACTTTCCAGTGTCAGTACATCATCTATAAAATATGGAACTACTTTTCAAAATCTTATCCTGTTACTTACGTATTTTAATTTTTTTCCAGTTTCTCATCCAGAGTGTAAGTTTTAGGAGCATAGGTGCTCCACCTTATCTGTCCTTGAATTTCTCCTTACAATCAGCTTTGCACAGAGGATGAATAAAAAGCTGTTGAATGATCACTTTCTTAAAGGCCTCTCTTGCCCCATTTTTTAGGTCAGTGCACTTGGAGAGGCATTTACAATGGTGGACAGTATAGTTGGAACAGCATATAACATTTCATAGAAATCCTTCTCTAGAAGACTTTAATATTTTCAAAAGAATATTGTCATCTGGAGTACTTAATTTTTAGCTATACTGAAGAATTAAACCAAAATTGGAAGCTTGTAAGACAAGTACAAAGCCCTCATACAACACATGAGATCTCACAAATAGACTAATTTCCTCTCTCTTTTTGTTTTAATACATCTTCTGGATGTATTAAAACAAAGACTTGGAGGAGGCAGTATGTAGTCTGTGGTGGAGAGCCTTAAATTTTCTTTAGTAATTGTGGGGTAGCAGCCTAATGCCAGTTTTAAATGCTATTTTTTTCCCCAGCTTTGTTAAGATATGACTGACACAAAACATTTTGTTAAGTTTAAGGTACAATGTATTGATTTGATACACTTTTATACTGCAAAATGATTACCACTATCGCATTAGTTAACACCTGCATCACATCACATAAAATAATGCTATTTTAAATATTAAAATGCCAGTCTATAAATAGGTTAAATGCTCTTCCAAGTAGCCTCATATATTCCTTTTTATTTTTTCCAGTTTTATTGAGATATAATTTATATATAACATTGTATTAGTTTAAGGTATATAACATAATGATTTGATATATGTATATATTGCAAAATGATACCACAGTAAGTTAACATCCATCACTATATTGGCTTCTTTATGATTAACTGGGATAATTTATTCAGTCTTCTTATTTAGTGCTGATTAACAGTAATAATGCTGTTGTGGTCTTGTAGAAAATCCTCTAATAAAAGAGTAATAACCAAAAGTTCTTTATCACTTAAGACTAGCCTCTTTCCGTGAAAAGAAATATACATCCGTTTTAACATTACCACTAATTTTAACTCCGGAAAAACTGGACCATCTTAATAATCTGCCAGATCATCAGCAACAATGAGTTGTTTATAAAGTTTTCATTGCTCAGTTCCTAAGAGAGTATGTTTTTACCTTACCTGTAATAGAGTTGACGACGGAACGTAGAATTGTTGGTGGTTTAATCAGTTCTTTCAAAATGTTAGATTCAGTAGCCAGTGGAAATCCATTGTCTAACATTTCTTCCAAGAGCTCATATACTATGACCACATTATCCTTAATTGCAGCCTCCGAACACTCACCAAAGTAGTCCTAACAAATATATACATAATATTGCACAATGGAAGGCATAGAGAAAGGCTTGCTAAATACTTTTTGTTCAGAGGGATAAACCTAGAGTAACATAATTCACTGTTTAAGATGAATGTAAAACAGAGGGAAAAACACCTGTCTATAGTTCCATATACTATTCCTCAATAGTTTCTTAATATTTTTACATTGAATTGAATTCCTATTACATGCTATGCCAGAAAGTACAATGAAACATTTAAACCAGAATGTGAAATATAAACTTCATTTGCCCTGATTAGGTACCCCAAACACACAGATAAATTTCAAATTATTTGATATATTCAGCAAGACAAGAGAAAATAATAAAATGTAAACATTAGAAGATTTCATAACCAATAAAAATCCTGAGACCATTCAGAGAACTGTATGTGGAGGGCACTATTGTTTCCTGATGACATAATATGCAATACATATAAAAAATAAGGCTTCCATGACTATGAGATTGTTCTGTTCTTCTAAAACAGTGAATGGAGCAGCCATGTGTGCTACTGTACACCCTCCAAAAAAGAGTTTATGAACTTATGCTTAGTTGAAAAGAAGAGAGAGAGAAACAGACAACATAATAAAAGCTGGGTAATAAAAAAATATAATCATGTGTCCCACCTCCAACTAACTTGGATAATTTAAGATCAAAAGATCTGATGAATAACCAACCTGAAAAGTGTCAGCAACTCGATGTAGGAACTCAATTACAAAGAGAGGTGGCACTTCAGTCTGTATGACGGACACAAAAAAGAGCTTATCCCGGTAGATGCTGATGAGGTAGTGATGAGGTGTTGAAATGACAGGTGGTACATTTTCAACATCAGCAGCTTTCTCTTGAGCTTCAAAGAAATAATCACAAACAGATTGGCTCACAACGCTCTTCCAGTGCTTCTCCAGAAATATGTCACCAGAACAGTTTATGAGAAATAGACTGTGGATCATTTTCTGGGGGAAAAAAAGCTTAAATTTAGTATATATCAAAAAGTACCCTTGTATTATCCTGACACCAAAACCAGACAAAAGCAATATAAGAAACTACAGACCAATATCACTTAAGGATATAGAGGCAAAAATCCTCAACAAAATACTAGCAAACTGAATCCAGCAATATGTAAAAAAGATAATACACCCTGATCAAGTGAAATTTATTCCAAGAATGCAAGGTTGGCTCAACATATGAAAATCAATCAATATAATTTTCATAAAATTCAACACAATTTTCATAAAATACAAGACAAAAAGCATAATTTCAAAAGGTGCAGAGAAATCATTTGACAAAATCAAACACCCTTTTATGATAAAAACCCTTAACAAACAAGGAATAGAAAGAAACTTCTTTAACCAGATAAAGAGCATGTATGAAAATCCCTAGCTAACATCTTATTTAATGGTTAAAGACCAAAAGCTTTCCCCTTAATATCAAGAACAATGATATCTACTCTCATGACTTCTACTCAGTATGATAGAATCTAGCCAGGGCAATTAGACAAGAAAATGGAACAAAAGGCTTCCAAATTGGAAAGGAAGAAGTAAAACTATCACACACATACATACACACAAACTATTAAGACAAATAAATGAGCAGCAAGGTTGCAGGATACAAGATTAATATAAAAAATCAATTGTGTTTCTATACATTAGCAATGAATAGTCTGAAAATGAAACTGAGAAAACAATTCCATTTACAAGAGCATCAAAAGGATAAAAGTACTCAGGATTAAATTTAACAAAAGAAGTGAAAGACTTGTACATTGAATTTTATAGAACATCACTGAAAGAATTAGAAAGACCTAATAAATGGTAAGACATTTCATGTTCATGGATTGGAAGACTTAATATTGTTGAGATGGCAATACTCTCCCAATTGATCTATAGATTCAATGCAACCTCTATTAAAATGCCTATTTTGTCTGATATAAGTATTGCTACCCCAGCTGTCTTTTCTTTTCCGTTTGCATGGAGTATCTTTTTCCATGCCTTCACTTTCAGTTTGTGAGTGTCTTTAGATCTGAAGTATGTCTCTTGTATGCAACATATATATGGGTCTTATTTATTTATTTTTTTAAAGATTTTATTTTTTCCTTTTTTCTCCCCAAAGCCCCCTGGTACATAGTTGTGTATTCTTCGTTGTGGGTTCCTCTAGTTGTGGCACGTGGGATGCTGCCTCAGCATGGTCTGACGAGCAGTGCCATGTCCGCGCCCAGGATTCGAACCGACGAAACACTGGGCCGCCTGCAGCGGAGCACGCGAACTTAACCACTCGGCCACGGGGCCAGCCCCTATGGGTCTTATTTTTTTATCCAAATATGTGGAGATTAATCAAAATGCTACTGAACAATGATTGGGTCAATGAAGAAATCAAAGGAGAAATCAAAAAATACCTGGAGACAAATGAAAATTAAAATACTACATGCCAAAATCTATGGGATACAGCAAAAGCAGTTCTAAAAAGGAAGTTTATAGCAATACAGGCGTACCTCAACAAACAAGAAAAACCTCAAATAACAATCTAACAGTGCATCTAAAGGGACTGGAAAAAGAAGAACAAACAAACCCCCAAATCAGAAGGAAGGAAGGAAAGAAATAACAAAAATCAGAGCAGAAATAAAATGAAATAGACTAAAAAAAAAATCGATGAAGCCAAGAGCTCGTTCTTTGAAAAGATAAACAAAATTGACAAACTTTTAGCTCGACTCACCAAGAACAAAAGAGAGAAGGGACAAATAAATAAAATCAGAAATGAAAGAGGAGAAATTGTAATGGACACCTCAAAAATACAAAAGATTATAAGAGAATAATACAAATATATAAGAGAATATGCCAACAAACTGGATAATCCAGAAGAAATGGATAAATTCTTAGAATCATACAACCTTCCAAAATTGAATCAAGAAGAAATAAAGAATTTGAATAGACCAATCATCAGTAAGGAGACTGAAACAGTACTCAAAAATCGCCCAAAAAAGAAAAGTTCAGGACCAGATGGCTTCCCTGGGGAATCCAACCAAACATTCAAAGAAGACTTAATATATATCCTTCTCAAACTCTTCCAAAAAATTGAAGAGGAGAGGAAGCTTCCTAGTCATTCTACAAAGCCAACATTACTCTGATAACAAAACCAGAGAAAAACAACACACAAAAAAGAAAACTACAGGCCAGTATCACTGATAAACATCAATGCAAAAATCCTCAACAAAATACTAGCAAATTGCATACTAGCAAAATGAATCCTCAAATTTATATAGAACTACAAAAGACCCTGAATAGCCAAAGCAATCCTGAGAAAAAAGAACAAAGCTGGAGGTATCACATTCCCTTATTTCAAAATATACTACAAAGCTATAGTAACCAAAACATCATGGTACTGGCAGAAAAACAGACACAAAGATCACCAGAACAGAATTGAGAGCCCAGAAATAAACCCACACATTTGTGGACAGCTAATATTCAACAAGTGAGTCAAGAGCATACGATGGTGAAAGGAAAGTCTCTTCAATAAACAGTGTTGGGAAAACTGGGAGCCACATGCAAAAGAATGAAAGTAGACCATTATCTTGCACCATACACAAAAATTAACTAAAAATGGATTAAAGTCTTGAATGTAAGAGCTGGAACCATGAAAATTCTAGAAGAAAAAACAGGTAGTATGCTCTTCAACATCAGTCTTAGCAGCATATTTTCAAGTACCATGTCTGACTGGGCAAAGGAAACAACAGAAAAAATAAACAAATAATTACATCAAACTAAAAGGCTTCTGCACAGCAAAGGAAACTATGAACAAAATGAAAAGACAACCTAACAATTGGGAGAAGATATTTGCAAACCATATATCTGATAAGGGTTAATGTCCAAAATATACAAAGAACTCACTACATCTTAACAACAAAATCTAAAAACCCAATTAAAACATGGGCAAAAGATCTGAACAGACATTTTTCCAAAGAAGACATACACATTGCCAACAGGCACATGAAAAGATGTTCAGCATCTTTTCTATTAGGGAACAACAGTAACTATCAGGGAAATGCAAATCAAAACTACAATGAGATATCACCTCACTCCTGTCAAAATGGCTATGATTAACAAGACAAGAAACAATAAGTGTTGGAGAGGATATGGAGAGAAGGGAACACTCACACACCGCTGGTCGGAGTGCAAACTGATGTAGCCACTGTGGAAAATAGCATGGAGATTCCTCAAAATATTTAAGAATAGAACTACCATATGATCCAGCTATTTTACTGCTGGGTATTTATGCAAAGAGCATCAAAACACAAATACATAAAGATACATGCACCCCTATGTTCATGGAAGCATTATTCACAATAACCAAGACTTGGAAGAAACCTTGGTGCCCATCAAGGGATGAATGGATAAAGATGTGGTATATGTACTCAATGGAATAATACTCAGCCATAAGAAATCTGGCCATAACGAAATCCGGCCACTTGTGACAACATGGATGGAACTTGCAGGTGTTACGCTAAGTGAAATAAGTCAAAAAGAGAAAGTTGAATACCATATGATCTCACACATAAGTAGTAGATAAAAACACCACCAAAGAAACACACAGAAACAGAGACTGGATTAGTGGTTACCAGAGGGGAAGTGGGGAGGGGGAAGGGTGAAAGCAGTGATTAGGCACATGTATGTGGTGATAGACTGTAATTAGTCTTCGGGGGGGTGAATCTACAGAGAAATCGAAATATAATGATGTACACCTGAAATTTATATAATGTTATAAACCAATGCTACCACAATAATAAATAAATAAATAAACAGGAAGTATAAAAAAACAACCCACAGAATGAGAAAATATTTGCAAGCCATCTATCTTACACAGGACTATTATAAAGAACACTTACAACTCAATTAAAAAAAAGACAAATAACACAATTAAAAAAATGAGCAAAAAACAGGACATCCCAAAGAAGATATATACAGAAATGGCCAATAAGCACAACAACTCAAATCTTTATTAAGAGTACAATTGAAAAATAAACTGTAGTGTATTATAAAATGAAATATTAGGTAGCAATGAAAATGAATAAACCATGGCCATATGAAACAAAATATGGATGAATCTCACAAACACAATATTGAACAAAGTCAGACCCAAAAGGATTCATACATATGATTCTGTTTATGTGAAGTTCCAGAACAGGCAAAAAATAATCTATGGTTTGAGAAATCAAATGGTTTCTTTTATGGAGGGGAGTGTGGGTAGTGAGGAGAACAGCATGGGGGTGGTCTTCTAAGGTGCTGGTAATGTTTTATTTCTTGATCTAGATGATGGTTACAAGTTGCGTTCATTTTGTGATAATTCATTGGGCTTTATGTTACGACTTGTACACTTTTCTGAGTGTTAGTAATGCTTCAAATAAAAACTTCATTGTCTTTGCAATATGGGGGACAGTGGGAAAATGTCTATTACCTTAACTTGTTCCTTTCTTTTATATGGATAACATCAGTATTAGGCGTTTAGTGGTCTATTCATTCAAAATTATACTACTGTATGGTAAATGTAGCGTAAGGAGAAAGAATTTACAATCTATGAATACAGTTTCTATTCATGAAGATAAATTCCAAAGAGGAAAGACTTTCCAGAATGGATTCATCCAATTCTGTTCATACAGAAAATAATGACATCAACCTGATCAGTTTTTTCAGAGGAAGTAATTTCATTTATTTATTTATTTATTTAGAGGAAGATTAGCCCTGAGCTAACATCCACCACCAATCCTCCTCGTTTTGATGAGGAAGGAAGCTTGGCCCTGAGCTAACATCTGTGCCCATCTTCCTTTATTTTCTATGTGGGATGCCTGCCACAACATGGCTTGATAAGCAGTGCATAGGTCGTTGCCTGGGATCCGAACTGGCAAACTCCAGACTGCTGAAGCAGAACACAGGAACTTAACTGCTGTGCCACCAGGCCGACCCCAAGGAAGTCATTTATTTTATGAAAGCAGCTGACATTTAAAGACTATCTCGTGATGATTTCCCCTTCCCATTTGATACATGTTCAAGAGTTATCAAGTAAATAATACTAATTACTAAGATGTGTTTTAGTAATTACTGTATTAATAAAACATAAACTCTGTTAATAGTTTAGAGTTCCTGCTTATTAGAAACAAAAAAATATTTCTTTGTTCAAAGCCATCTCCACTTAGCCCAGCAATCAATTTGAGTTGGCAGCAATAAACCGTGATACCTCAGGCTTTGGACCTACTAAATTTTTCCAGATCAATATCTGAAACCTGCTAAATTTTTCTACTTTATCTAACCAAATATGTTGTTTAGTATGTCTGCTTTGTGTCAGTCTTATATTTCTGTATGGGTGATAAAACAGTGCCATTGGAATAAGTGGACTTGCTATATAGAACCTACTTACTCTAACCATAACTTCTGCTGATACACTTTTATTTTTTAAATGAAACAGGAATATCTAGTGATAGGATCTGCAACTAAATTTGCATTATGACTCCTTTTCTTGGAATAAAATCTTCATCTGAAATATAAAGTGTGGTGTAAAGTGGAACACTGTAATTGACTCAGTGAGATTCAGATTTGAGCACTTCAGGTGAGCCAGCAAAGAATATGGCATCCTTTGCAAAAATTAACTTTCAGCTCCATTCAAAATGAATTAATAAATTCAAAATAAATGAATATATAAAATGTATTGAGTACTTACTGTGGGCCATATACTATGCAATGCACTTTACCTACATTAATTTTCACAACTCAATGCTATAAATACTGCTTTTATTCTCCATTTTACAGATAACACAATAAAATCTCACAAATGTTTAAGTCAATTATCTAAGATCATACAATAAGTATCAGAGCTAGGATTCAAACCCAGATCCAATTGAATTCTGAGCCTCTGTTCTTACCTTCCTCCAGAGAGTAATTATTAGGAATACACTCTAATGCAGCAGTGTCCAATAGGATTTCCTGCAATGTGGACATGTCCCGTATCTGTGCTGTCCAATATAGTAGCCACTAATCAGATGTAGCTATTTAGCACTTGAAATGTGGCAAATGCAACTGATGTACTGAAGTTTAAATTTAAATTTAAATAACTACATGTAGCTAGTAGTTACCATATGGGACTGGGCAGCAAATGTCCTGTTTGAGCTACTTATTTATGAGGAAGAGCTGAAGAACATGCTTCTTGTTTAGTCAGAAGTCAAAATGTGTTCTAATAGATTATTTAGAGTAGAAGTTATATTTAAAGGAGCTGACATAGGTTATCTTCTTAAACCATTCATCCTATAGAAAGTATAGTTCATGTGGATCTGTGGTACTCCACTGTCACAATATACCCTAAAAGAGCTGCTTATTCTTGAAGCAAGTGACTTGGTAGTTTATTTATTTTAGGAGCCAGATTCCTACTCATCCTCTTAAGCTGGTGAAAAAGTCTCTCCAGGAAAAGTTTCCACCAAAGTTCTTTTCACTGGCAGTAGTTCAGGTCTCAGAAGAATACAGTAAGTTAAACCAGCCATCTGGATTTACTGTTGTTATCCTTAGTGCTGAGATGAAAGCGTACACTTGTTGTTCTCAACAGTGCTTAGCTTTAAAACCCATCTTAACATTCTATTATAGGAAAATAGAGCTTATTTCTTCTATCCATATTGTAACCAAGGGCCTAATGCATACAACAATTATATAAATACCATATGCAGCAGTGTAAAATTGCCTGTTTCTTTAGCTACTTATCCTTTTAGTACCTGCAGTTACTTCTTTCATTATTTTAATAAACTTTCTGGGAAAGCAACACATTCACCACCACAACCATCTTTTTGTTCTTAGTGACTTTTGAGTCAGAAAGCAGAATTCTCCCAGCTTATTTTAAAGCCACTTGAGAAGCTGTGTTCAGAGGTAGTTTCATCAAAGATTTGACTGCAGTTTAAATACTTCATAAATCCTCTTTACCAAATGTTGAACACACTCATCCTGATGATTCATAAGCAATGCAATTACAATAGTCAAAATATTCTTGGAAGATAGTGTCTAAAAAGGAAAATGTATTCCTTCTATATGTAACAGAATAGAAGCATAGAAGGGCCTATATCCAAGGCGAGAGAATGAGACCAGAAAAGAATCTAGCTCCTCTAATTCTTAGCGAATATTTTGACCATTTATTCATTCAACAAGTAGTTTTGAATATTTTTTATACATTAAACAATTGGGATACAAGGGTGAACAAAAATAGAGTCCCTAAACTCACAGCATTTAGAGTTCACCAAAGAAGGCACCCAAGTTAATTCAGTAAAGACGTAATTCTTATTATGATAGGGGAAACACAGTGTGCTACAGAAATTCATAAGGCTTCGACGTGAGAGAGAACACAAGACAAAGAAATCCATGACAGATGTAGCAATTTTAGAAGGCAGAGGGAAGTGTTGAGATGAGACTGGAGAAGGAGATAAGCAGAGGTTGGTTCACTTTATTCTCAGAAAGAAGCCAAGTTGGAGACAGATTTGTGAGTAATAATGATTGCTTGTTAACAGGAATTGTAACTATAAGAAGAATATAACTACAAAGAGAGAATGTACATAGTAGAAGGAACTCCAACATTTGAGTAGCAGCTGAGTCAATAAAGTGGGCCTAAAAAAAACCTAAGAAGATGTGGCTGAAGAGGGATAAGAAAAAAAGGGGAGAGTAATGGTTTTTAGTAACTAAAGTGTGTTAGTGTGTTTCCAGAAGAACAAAGTAGTAAACATTTTGAATGCACAAAGAGTTCAAGCTACAAGAAGAACTGAAAATGACATTGATTTAACAGTGTGTTTCAATTTTCTTTCATTATTGGCTGCTAAGGGGCCTTTTCAGACTCCCCTTCATTCACGCCCCTCCCCCATAAATTTTTTTTTTTTTGAGGAAGATTGGCCCTGAGCTAACATCCGGGCCCATCTTCCTCTACTTTATATGTGGGACGCCTACCACAGCATGGCTTGCCAAGCGGTGCCATGTCTGCACGCGGGATCCGAACCGGCGAACCCTGGGCTGCCGAAGCAGAATGTGCCAACTTAACCGCTGCGCCATCAGGCCGGCCCTCCCCCATAAAATTTTAATACCACCAAATATATATCTGTATATCTCTTTATGTATTGTAAACATATCTGTGCTTTATACATAAAGACAGTATATATATTTTTTTGCCTCACAGGAAGCAATATTTGTCCCTACTGAGAATGTATGATTTAACACATAGAGGACATTGGTGATCTTAGTAAAAGTATTTTAGTAGTAGTTCAGTGGAATGATGGAAACAAGATATACTGCAGTGGGCTGAGAAATAAATAACAAGAAGTGGGGAAAACAGACATAAGGAGAGTAGATGATACATTCAAGAACTCTAGCTGTGAAGGGAATGAAAAGACAGGAAAATAAATGGGAGTGGTTAATAAAGGAAGAATATTTTTAAATGCTGAAAGAAAGGTGTGAGTAAAGGGGGAAAGGCTAATGATGTAGGAGAGAGGGAATAACTGAAAAAAAAAAAAAAACCCAAAAAAAGACCCTCAGAAGGTAGAAGAGGACGGTATTGGGAGACTAGGTGAAAGAAGGATTTGCCTTCCCTAAGGTGAAGAGACACTTTTTCCTCTTTAAAGGGAAGAAGGGTTGTGTTATTTGGTTGCAGGAAGATGAAGGCTTCTATTTTCTCTGTGTGATAGGAGAGAGAATTCCTTTTCTCTACAAATACCATTGGCTACTCATGAATTAAGATATTATTGAGCTCTTTAAAAATATCTGGTCTGCAAGGAACTCCAGTAGTATATTATGTTGAATGTTTAGAAATATTGTAAAAATCCTAACATTCAGGAAGAAAAGTTAACCTTATTGTAAAGAGAACTTTCCTACTAAAGATATGCAAGTTTCAGGTAATTCTTCATTCACTTCATTCCTCCAGTTTTCCTATGGTTTCAACTGAAAGTGTTCTCCTTTCTTTTCAAAACCAATCCACCCACACCCTTCCCTTTCTTCCTGGGTATTCTTTTTCTTGGATCTTTAATCTTATACATTGGTTACCTGTTTTCTGCACCAAAACATAATGCGTCTCGTGTTTAACTTTAAGAAAAACTCCAAACCTCTTAGAGACCTTGCCATTCTCAAAAATCTTTTGCTTCATGCTCCAGATGAAGAATTAAGGCTTCACTTGCAGCCTCTCCTCTCAGTAATCTACTGTACTTAAAGCAGCTCTCTCAAGTGACCCAATGATTCCTAATCATGGAATCTAACGAACTATTCTCAGACTTCAACTTCCTCCTTTGACCCTCGCAGCATTTCATGTAACCGATAACTTTCCCCCAAACAAAACAAACACTTCTTATCCGATTATATGAAACTTTACCTGTTTTGGTTCGCACCTTGAAAGTTTCTTTCCGGCTTACTTCCCAGGCTTGTTTTAAAAAAATCTTTCTAACATCTCCACTTAAACCACGGTTTCAAACTTGATATATCCCAATTTTATAGTGGCACCATCTTCTTAATCATGTAGGCTATAAGCTTCAGCTGCAGGTTCAACCCAAATCCACCAAATCCAGCCAGCCAGATCACTCATCACTTTTCCATACTTACTGCCACCTCCTCAGTTTAGATTCCCGTCACCTCTCTTCTAAGAGTTGCAACACCCTCTTCACTGTATTCCCCACCCCAGGCTGATCCAGGCGCCACCCTCTAAGAGGACGTCCGCTCAGGTCAGTCAGGGGTTTTGTCCTCCAAAGCAGAAGCCTGGGGCTGAGGTCCGAGTCGTCGGTGCTCCAGCTCACTGTGGGTGACAAGACTTTTTCCTGTGCCAGAGCACGGACAGGGACCCCAAACAGCTCGAACCTCTTGGGCCTGGGGCCTGAGAACACTGGGTTCCAGGAGTACCGCTCCCTTCCGGCCCTGCTGGCAAGAAAGCCCGGAGGGCCGGGAGGGAAAAGCGGGCCCGGCACACAGCACCACAGACGCTCCTACAGCCCAGGTTGGAATTCGGAGCCCCAGCTACTCAGCTTACTCCTCAGTTTTCGAGCTGTCCCCTGTCCGCAGTCTCCCCGCCCCTCACACTCACCCCAAGACCTGGGCCTGTCAGTGATTCGGCGCCGGGTCCTCTCCGGACGGAGGCTGAGGCAGCTGAGAAGGCCGTGAGGACCCCGCAGTTGGAGTGCCCAGTAGATTGCCTTACCGACAGCTTGAAAGAAACCACCTCGCTCTACAGTGCTGAAAAGATTAAATAAGCGGGAAGACGATGATTGAGAAGAAAGATGTCTCTAGAGGTTTAAGATCTAAATCTTCTAGATCACCCAGAATCTAGAGGAATTGGGGATTTCTCACCATTTGGACTCAGGCGCTCTCATGCGCAGCCTAACTCAGTCTGGGGTCCTCCTACAGTCGGGTGGGCGGGATCAGGAAGGGGCTATGTTTTAGCCAATGAGTGCGGCCGACGGGTAGAGCCAGGGGCTGTGTGTGGGAGAGGCACCGACTGAGAAGAGTCGGGAGGGGCGGGGTTCGGAGGAAAGGAGGTGGTGATGTGAGGAGGGTGTGAGGCCAGAGGGGTAGGGTGCACGAAGATGGCAGCAGCTGAGGAGGAGCGGAAGCCCAAAAAGCTGAAGGCGGAGGCGCCGCGAGCGCTGAGGTGAGCGCTACCCGACGTAAGGTGGAGGGTGACGGCATCTGCAGCTAACCAGGACCCACGTGGGGTTGCGCGGCCCCGGTGCTGGGTGGTGCCTTCGCTGCCGGCCTGGGGCCAACAAGTAGGACCGGCTGCTCTGAGAGCTCCCCGCATGGCTGCGAGCCCCCTCGCCCGGTGCCCGCCCAGTTTGGCCGAATCGCCGCCTGCTCCGGAGCCCTTCGGGCCGCCTTTGGCCAATCAGAGCGTCAGCCGAGGCGCGGACCGGGAGGTGGGGGTAGCCCAAGCCGGCTGTGGCCAGGCTGCGGGCGCCACGTGGGAGCCCCCACTGGCTGGGCTGGTGCGGCTCGTGAGGACGAGATTGGACCAGAGCAGAGTGATACGCTGCCGCTGCCTCTTCCCTGGGGGATAACGAGGAGGGTGCCGAGCTACCGCTCTACGCTGAGGCAAAGAGAGGATTCTTGGAGATTTTTCATAAAGGTGTCCCAGAAGGGCGATTTGACCTTCATTTTCGTATATACCCTGAAAGCTGGCATCTTTGAAGACCCTCTACCAGGGACCTAGACCCGTCCTCCGAGACCTAGACCCGGCCTCCGAGGCTTTGCGGGGGCGGCCTCTGGTTGAATGGTAGGAAAGGTTGGTTTTTCTTGGCACGTTTTGGCAGCAATGGAGACACTTCTGCCACTACCACCTGCCTCACGTGATTTATGTGGCAACTTTTACTTATAAAAAGTTGTTTGCTAAAATATTCCTTCCTAATAAGTGTAATGTGCAGCGTGCGCAGTCCTTGATGATTTTGAAATGTTCCTTGGGAGGCAGTGGTTTTCCTTTCTAAAAATAGACATATCAAACTGATTTAAAACTGTTAGGACATTCCTGATTATAGAAGAGAAATCTCATTTCTTCCAGCATCGCCCTTCTTGTTCTCCAAAAGAACGAATCATTCATAATTGAAAAGAAAAGGTCACTTAGGGGCCTGGTGGTATGTTCATGCTGTTTTGAATTGATGGTGACCAGTGCCTTTAATGTATTTGTACTACGTACGTACTTTATATGAAGAAAATAAACTTTTTTTTTTTTTTTTTTTTTTACAACTCAAGATGTTCTGTTTTTATTTTAAGCTTTCAAACTGTGGAGTAAAGCAAGGGCTTTTGAATCAGACCCACCTGGTTTCAAGGCATGTGCTCTCCGTTCTGGGCCCATTATTAGAGTATTTCTGTAAAAGGCACCTCCTTCATAAAGTTCCTCTACTGAATTGGAAGACAGATGCACGTTTTCCCTACTAAACATACAGCCTTAGATTTTCCCTTATGCTAATCCGTTTTCAAAGTGCTTTCCTGTTTTACAGATGAGGAAATTGAAGCCCAAATGACACAATTAGATAAGAAACTGAAATAATCCAGAGCATATGGGTGCAAGTTCATTGTTGTTTGACTCTATTATTCCTACTTTTATGCAACAACCCAAGATACACTTTTCTCCTCCTATGAATCCTTAAAAATAATGAGAAATAATACTGTTTAATACTTAAGTAAGTATCTGCTAGGCATTGTTTCAACACTTTATCTATTTTAACTCATTCTCTCCCACAACAACCTTGCAAGGTAGATACTATAATCTCGGTTTTACCAAGGAGGAAACAGATATAGAGAGGTTAAGTAACTTGATCAGGGTCACCTATCTAGTAAGTGATAGGGTTGGGATTTTAATCCAAGTAGTCTGATTCCAAGTCTGCTCTTAATTACTATGCTATATTTATTGACTGGAAGCAATTTATCCAAAAACCCTAGTGAACTATTAACTCAGTTTTTGTTTCTCTACTTTTGCTTCTTTTTTTTGTTAGTGTACCTAACTTTTTATGTTGTTGCAATATATGGGCATATGATACATAATAATCTTTTTTTTTTTTTTTAAGATTGGCACCTGGGCTAACAACTGTTGCCAATCTTTTTTTTTTTCCCTCTGCTTTATCTCCCCAATCCCCCTCCCCCCCCGACACACAATTGTATATCTAAGTTGCACCTCATTCTAGTTGTGGGATGTGGGACGCTGCCTCAACATGGCCTGATGAGTGGTGCCATGTCCGCCCAGGATTCAAACCCTGGGCCACCGCAGTGGAGCGCGTGAGCTTAACCACTCAGCCATGGAGCCGGCCCCAATAATCTTAAATACATATAAAGCATTTTATATGTCATTAGTGTAACTTAAAATTTATGAAAGTCCTTAGGCAACTACAACCCATTTTATACACTTTCTACTTACTGCGATCTGTAGACATGAAGTGAAAAGATGAGACACTTGAGTACTGGGACAACTCTTTTAAATTTTGTGTGAAGACCTTTTGGGATTGGCTCTTCCTACTTTCATTATGTTAGTTTGGCTTTAAGGGTTGCAGTGTGGTAATGTACTGAGTGATTAGACTGCATGCATTATCTATGATGACTTGCTTGACAGTTAAGGGGCTAGCTACCAGTTTTGGTTAACTTTTAAGGAGAAAGGCTTATGAAGTCTAACCATGATTACTGTGTAGAATCAGTCAGTGGGGAACAAATACTTTTATCAAATTTATTTGTAGATGTCAGACAATGGATTTAGGGCTTTGTGAGAATTTCAGTTAGCTCTGAGGTAGTAGTTGTCAATGAGGGTGAAATTTTTCCTCCCAGGGGGTGTTTGGCAGTCTGGAGACATTTTTGGTGGGGAGTGCTACTGGCACCTAGTGGGTAAAGTTCAAGGATGCTGTTAAATATCCTACAATGCACAGGAAGCCCCCTACAACAAAGAATTATCCAGCCAAAATTGACAATAGTGTTGAGATTGAAAAAAACTGCTCTAGGGAGAACATCTGACAAGTCTAGCCTCTGTTTCTCAAGTATCCATTATTTTCTAGGTTGGATTGTTTTTCAGCGGATAGCAGTTACTAAAGCTGCAAAGAAATAGGCAGGCCCTAACATGTTTTCACATTGGGTTGGAGAACAGAAGGGAACATTAGTTGAGTGCTAGACTTTATAGTGGGTGCTTTATATATGCTATCTCATTTAATTTTCCCAGTAATCTGTGAGGTAAGAATAATGATCCTTGTGTTACAGATGAGGTATTTAGGGGTGAAAGAAATCAAGAAGCATTTATGAGAACCGCTCCCTAGATGAAGATGTTCCACGATGATTACCTATATTTGGGACCACTTAGTTTTCTTTTCTCTCCTTTGAAAATCTCATCCAAGTTAATTTCTTTAGTTGTCACATCCAAGAGGATACAGTTCCTTCCAAGGCTTGTTGAGCACATGCCAAGTCTGTTCTTTCAGTCAGTCTTTTAAGTGCCTGCTAATTTAGGCATGGTGCTAAAAATTAGGTACATTTATAGGGAGAAGTAAGACTCAGGTACCATCCTCTTGGTGGGAAATGAGTGGAGTTTGGGAAAACGATACCTGAGCATTCTGAAAGATGACAGGGAGTTAACCAGGGATAGATAAAGTAGGGTATCTGGCATTATAGGAGTGTTTGTTTGGAGGTGGAGATGAAAGAGAGCTGCCTCTGTTAGGGAACTACAGATGGTTTGGTCTGACGAAGCAGAAGGTGTAGGGAGTCCAGGCTTTGTACTGGAGGGTTTCATATGTGTGATCTTTCTATCTGCTTCTATTATCTTTATATTCTTCACCTCTCAGACCCTAATTTTAACTGTCTCCTCAATATCTCTTTCTGAGTGTCTTGCTGACACTTCAAAGTCATATGTAGCAAACTAAATACACCTGTTGTCCGTCTATGTCCTTCTATGGTTTCTGCATCCACTAACTTCTCTTTCTCCAAAGTTTGGAACTTAGATACTTGACTCATTTTCCATCCACATGTAGTTATCAAAGTTGGTCTTTTCTCCTTCACCAATGTCTTATAAATTCCTTTTGTTTTCCATTCCTGCTGTGACAGCTCAAGTTTAGATTTTATCTTGCTTAGCCTTTGATTGGCTCCCTAACTAGTCTCTCTGTCTCCAGTCTCAAGTTCTGCCTAATCTCCTTCAGGCATAGCTCTACTTAATCATCATAGCAAGTATTTGTGAGCCCTGAAGTTGATGTCGGGAAGGGTTGAATCCTAAGAGTCCACATTGTAACTTTCTCTGACATTAACAATTAAAGATTGTTCTGAGTCACAACTTTTAATATTAAAAAGAAAACAAACTGCAATTCTCCAATCAGCAAATATTCAGTTTTTCTCAAATTGTTGCTTCCTAACCATTTCACTTGGATTCCCCCCACCCCCCTTTCCTACCTCACTAAGGACCCTGTGTTTTAAAATTGGATAGTAGGGGCTGGCCCCGTGGCCGAGTGGTTGAGTTTGCGTGCTCTGCTGCAGGCGGCCCAATGTTTCAGCGGTTCGAATCCTGGGCGCGGACATGGCACTGCTCATCAAACCACGCTGAGGCAGCGTCCCACATGCCACAACTAGAAGGACCCACAATGAAGAATATACAACTATGTACCACGGGGCTTTGGGGAGAAAAAGGAAAAAAATAGAATCTTTAAAAAAGAATAAAATAAAATAAAATTGAATAGTAACCCTGGGAAGAAAAGTCTAAGTATCTTAGGTGGCCAAG